TATTCTTTACAAATATTGATAACATCTGGGGAATTCCGTCTCTCGAGTTATTTTCCAACCCTTTTTCAGCTCCATCCTATTGATTTAATGAATCTATATAGATATTCCCGTATCACTCATTATGAGATGAGGTAGTAAATTTTCCACTATATTTTTTATCGTAAATCCATTATTACGTTCTATTAGCTGTATAATTTTAGATTTCAATTCTGTTTATGGCTATTGCAATTTTTTCCTGACTCCAATTGCTATATTTCTTTTGTGGTTAATGATAGGTATCAGAGTTTATTGTAGAAGAATTTATTTGATTGGGTAAAGAATTATTTGTTATACCAAATAAAACTGAATTTGAAATATTTTGAGAATAAGATGGTTCTTCCTGTGAGGAAAAATCTAAAAGATTATAAATAATAAACAATATTATGTTAATTGGTACCAACATGTAGATGTAGAAAGATCTAAGAGACCGGAGATAGTGACTATTTTACTAATTTTTAATATCTTAAAAAATGGGAATTTTATTTCCTGGGAATTATATTCACAGATTCTTTTTAATGTTTACCTAATAGATTTTAAATAATAAACTAAAGTTAAAATTTTTTAGCCCTCTAATTGTTAAAATTTTGTAACCGATTCGCTCGCACTTTTTAAAATTATTAGCTAGGCCGCCCATGGACGGGCTTCAACTAAAAACCTGCTCGTTTCAGCAAATAAATTCTAAAATGATCATAACGATTATGACAATTGTCATTTTTCTATGGTACATCCTCATTTAAATTTTAATTTAACATGTTTACAATATATAATTTTATATTTTTGCTTCAAAATAATTCAAAAAAGATTAAAAATAACGATTATGACAATTGTCACTTTTCTATGGTAGATCTCCACTGAAATTTTAATTTAACATGTTTACAATATATAATTTTACCCTTTTGCTTAAAAAAAATTCAAAAAAGATTAAAATAAACGTTTATGACAATTGTCACATTTCTATAGTACATCCTCATTTAAATTTTAATTTAACATGTTTATAATTTATTATTTTACCCTTTTGCTTCAAAAAAATTCAAAAAAGATTAAAAATGGCCATTATGACAATTGTCACTTATCTATGGTACATCCACATTTAAATTCAACAAGTTTACAATTTATTATTTTACCCTGTAAGTTCAAAAAAATTTAAAAGGGATTAAAAATGACGATTAAGACAATTTTCACTTTTCTATGGTAGATCTTCAATGAAATTTTAATTTAATAAGTTTACAATATATAATTTCTTCAAAAAAAATCAAAAAAGATTAAAAATAACGATTAAGACAATTGTCACTTTTCTATGGTACATATTCACTGAAATTTTAATTTAACAGGTTTACAATATATATTTTTACCTATTTGCTTTAAAAAAATTCAAAAAAGTTCAGATAACAATTATGATAATTGTCACATTTCTATGGTACATCTTCACTGAAATTTTAATTTAACATGTTTACAATATATAATTTTACCATTTTGCTTCAAAAAAAATTAAAAATTAACGATTATGACAATTGTCACTTTTCTATGGTACATCCACATTTAATTTTATATTTAATAAATTTTTATCTACTTGCTTTAAAAAAGTTCAAAAATAACGATTGTGACAATTTTTACAATCATTAAAACCATCTCGAAACATGCTCAAAAAATTTTTTCTTGCCTATAACCTAAAATTATTTTTATAGGTTCTGATATGAATATTATGACAATTGTCACTTTTATAGTTTACACATTAAATATTAATTCATGTTTGAATTAATCATTTTTCTCTATTTTCAATTAAAACATATGTGAAATAAGTATTATGACAATTGTCACCTTTATATGCTTTACAATCACTGAAACCATCTCAAAAAATGCTCAACTAGCCTTTTTTAATTATAATTATTTTTAAAGGTTCTGAGATGAGTATTATGACAATTGTCACTTTTATAGTTTACATTAAATATAAAACATTAAAATTATGACATAACATTTTTAAAATAATCATTATTATATTCCAAATATTAAAAAAATGCAGTCGGTATTATTTCCAATTCTCACATTTACAACCTATTCAAAAAAAATATTTTCATTAACATAAAATAAAAAAAAATATATATATCAAAAATTTTATTTTTAAAGAATTTACCAAAAAATTTTAAGATCAAAATTTCAAAAATGTTTTAATAAAGATTTCCTTACAAAAGATTTTATTTTATTATAAAATTCTCAAAATATTTTCTCAAAATTATAGAAGATTTTTTTACAAAAAATATTTTTTAATTTTTTTTAGCGAAAAAATCTTCGCAAAAAATTGATCTTTTCAAAGATTTTTTCCTCAAAATTTTGGGCGAAAAAAATCTTCAAAATTTTATTTGAAGATTTTTATAAAACTCTGGTTTATTTATAAGAAAATTCTCCAAAAAATTTATCAAATGAAAATTTAAATTTCTTATATTTTTTTTATAAACAATATAAATAACAGAGACCTGCAGGCCCGGCCCTAAACCCGGCCAAAAAATTTTTTTAAACATATCCGGGCCGGGCCTAAAAAATTTTTTTTTAGATATATCCGGGCCGGGCTTAAGATTGTTAAACCCGGGCCGGGCCTTAATATTTTTTATAAAAATTTTTACATTATGAGTTAATGGTTATAAGATTATATTATATTATAGTTATGATTAATATAATATTGGGTGATGGTTAACACTACCTAACAACCCACAGATCGATCTAATTATTAATTTCCTGCAAATTTATTCAAAGTATTAATATATTTTTTTATAATTCATATCTAAATTTTTACAACATATTTTACCAAAACAATCAAATAAAGGAATATCTTAAATAAGCCCCAATATTCAAGTATTATTAATATATTTATCTAAATTTTTAGAATATATTTTACCAAAACAATCAAATAAAGGATTATCACTTCTTAAAGTTTGTAATTGATTTTACTTAATATAAAGCATTTTTTAATTGAAAAATTTGTTTTACACAAGTATCATTTTATTTCTCTTTTTCTCTGTCCCAAATTCAAGCAATTACGTATGTAGTCAGGGACAGATCGCAAAATGACGGAAAACTATATAAAAGATTATATTAAATTACAAGAGGCTCAGGAAGTAAATGAAATACCATCGACCAGTCAAATTACGACTGTTGTTAAACAAACTGAATCGTTTTATGATAAATGGGGCGATGGTAATTCTGGAAATATGTCAATACCCGATGATGAATATTATAATTACATAAATAATAGATAAAACATTTAAGGTGGATAATTTGTTAGAGTGGTGGGCGGCTCATCAAAGCGAATTTCCAATTTTAGCAAAATTGGCAATTCCTGCTTTAAGTGCAAGCTGTGAGCGGAATTTTTCCACTACTGGGAGAATTCTTGAAGAAAGAAGAAGTAATCTTCAACCTGAAAAGGTAGATATGCTTCTCTTTCTTCATGATAATTTGTGAATTTTTAATATCATTCTTGAGTATAGGGTTTCGTCAATCATGCTGGTTTTTTACTTTGCAAACTGTCAAATATTTATTGCATTTATTATATTTACCTTGAGTCATGAAAGTTTTTAATCCAACATTTTTCATTATTTTTTTTTACAGTATTATATAATACAATTATCTTCTTTTGTTAAAAATTTATATTATAAAATAAATTATATTAATATTGTGCAATTAGATTATATTTTCAAAATACTATTTATTATACATGCATTTTTTTAAATAGCGATTTATTTTTATTTTATAAATTAAATAGTAAATTAAATACAATATATTATATTCTCAAAATATTTTCCATTTTTATAAATTAAATATTAGTTTTATTTTTTTTAAATGTAATATAAAATATAGTATATGACAAATATTATTACCATTTTTATGAATATTAGTTTTATTTTTATAAATGCAATATAAAATATAGTATATGCTCAAAATATCCATTTTTATAAATAACAGTTTTATAATTTTTATAAATTCAATATAATATTCTCAAAATATTAGCTTTTTACATGCATTTTTTAAATAATAAGCGATTATACTCGCTGAAAAATATGGTAAAATACCTCATAGGTGAATTTTTGTATATACCAGGTCGAATATAATTTTAAAAAATTCCGAGCCTGAAATTTTTAAATCTGGGCCGGGCCGTAAAAAAATTTTTTAAAAAATATCCGGGCCGGGCCGGGCCTTAAATTTTTAAATCCGGGCCGGGCCGTAAAAAATTTTTTTAAAAAATATCCGGGCCGGGCTTAAAAAATTTAAAACCGGACCGGGCCGTGCAAATGGTACCTCTGCAGGTCTCTGATAAATAATAAAGTAAAGAAAAGAAAAGAGGGAGGGAGAGGGTTTATATTTAATTTTGACTTGGGAATGAAATTATTTAAACAAAAAATAAATATTTTTATTATGGAATTAATTTTTGGGGGGAAAAAAAAGGGAGGGGAATAGAATTGTTATTTTTTTCATTGATAGAGAAAAAAAATTTTTTTAAAAAAATATTAAATCAAGGAAGGAGGGGGAGGGGTATTTTTAAGAACAAAATTATAATACATACTTTTAATATTATATATATTTTTTTATTATATTTTATTCTTAATTTAATTAAATATCATGAGCATGAGATATTATATATCTCTTAAAAAATTTTCTCTATGTAGGGGAGACCGGGGTAAAGCGATTGACGGGGTAAAAATGTTAACGCGAATAACTTTTTAACCCTTGAGCACAAAGATTTTAAATTTGGTGTGAAGAACAGTGATTATTACCCAACCTTGTCGTTGATAGCTAAAGATTTCCTGGCGCAACAAACGACAAGCGTTCCAAGTGAGAGAGTCTTTAGCAAGGCAGTAGACTTTTAGACAAAGAAGCGAAATAGGATGGCTTATATCTCCAAAACTAATTATATATCATATTGTAAGTAAAAATATTCTCTAAAGGGCTATCAAAAAATAATAAAAATTGGCGCCAAATTGAGTCTTTAACATTCGGTTTACCTATAATGCTTTACCTGTATTTTTAAGCAAAAAAGGGAGTTTGTTTTCAATGATATAATAAAATATATATTTATTAAATAATGTGATCAGGATTTCCATTAGTGTTGTTAAACGGCTTTGAGTCGATTTTTAAAAACGGCTAAATCAATTTTTTAACCAGAAAACAATTGTCTAAGCATCGAGTTTTCGATAATGTCTAAACCTTTGTGCCATCTATCCGGATCTGGACCTTGGGTCTGAACGCCGGGTCTGTGCTCGGGGTTCGTGCTCAGAGCTGGTTTTGTCGATATTTTATACCCAAACCCCGGGTCTGGGCTCTACACAACCAACCAATTAACAACACTACTTATGCAGGCAAAAATAATTTTTTATGTAAATAGGAAAATATCAAGTACAGAAAAGGCTAATTTTATGTAATATTAAAGACCTTTTCATTCACTTTAGAGAGACTCATAACGATATACAGTTAGGTCTGAGTAGATTTGCTTTCTTACGAAGTAAAAACTGTGTTTTAGCAGGTGGTCCAGGTACACATACCATGTGTATCTGCACATTACATTAAAATTTTAAGCTTATTTAGGTGGAAAATTAAAACAGCTAACAAACAATATTGGTCATTATAATTATCCTGTGTAAAATCAGAGCAAATAAATTAATTAATAATAACTAATATGAAATATTCGTCCTCTAGTCGACTCAATTATATATTTCGTATTCATGGTGTCAAGTTGAAAGTCTACAGTAAATAAATGTAAAAAATAGATCACAAATATCTTAATTAATAAAATTTGAAATATTCGTCCTCTAGTCGACTCACGTTCATATAAGTATAACTTATCGTCCTCTAGTCGACTCAAGTATATAATTCCTATTTGCAACTAAAGTTGGAAGTCTAAAATAAAAAAAGTAATAAACAACAAATATCTTAATTAATAATAACTAATTTGAAATATTCGTCCTCTAGTCGAATCAAGTTCATAGAACTATTCGTCCTCTAGTTGACTAAAGTATATTATTCCTATTTAAATCTCAAGTTGGAAGTCTAAAATAAAAAAATGTAAAAAACAGAACAAATCTTAATTATTAATAATTAATTTGAAATATTCGTCGTCGACGACTCAAGTTTATAAAAATATTCGTCCTCTAGTCGACTCAAGCATATAGACTTGAGTTCACGACTTGAGTTTACGACTTGAGTCGACTTGAGTTCACGACTTGAGTTCATAACTCAAGTCAGTTTGGGTTGATTTTTTCGACCCAAAACTTAGACTCAGTTTTCGACTAAGTCGACTCGACTCAGTCGATTAACAACACTACTAAATACCAGAGTTGTTAAAGTATCTAGATACAAGTATCTAGATACTGTATCTAGATTTAAAAATGTAGTATCTGTATTGTATCAAGATAGATTTTTTAGAAAGGTATCTGTATCTGTATATAGATATTTTTTTAGAGGTATCTGTATCTGTTTTTAGATACTTTTTAAGATACATTTTATATACCCCTTTTTTTATTGTAAATAAAAATATTTGACTATAAAATTTATTTTATTTCATATGAGCTTATGAAATAAATAAATATATATATTATATATTATATATTAATATTTATTAATACTATAATAAAGAATTATATATACATAAAATATTAAAACTTATATATAAATATTCATTAATTTAAATATTATGTCCGAGTTTATCAATAAACTATACAAATTTTAATATTACAATATGGAAATGGTAAATTTTATTTTATTACTAAATTTTTAAGTTTATATATTTATTTAGATCTATATCGATGAAGAAGAGGAAGCAACAAGTTCTATTGCTTTACCATGGCCAAATTGAGCATATTTTAAAATAATATCTCAAAACAAAGAAAACAATTAATTCTCTGATGGTAAAAGGTTTGCCGTGTCTACCTAAAAATACAAAAATATCCGTCAGTATGACTTCAACGTGCAATATCATGAAGCACATAAGGGTATATATATTATATATTTAAAATTCTAATTAAAATTTTAAGAGAAAATATCCAACCTTGTTAACAAAAATAAAAAAGGGGAAGGAAAATAAAATACTAAAGAAAATATTGGCAAGGCTCATCCTCCAATAATATTTTTGCTAAAAGACCTTTGACTTTTACTCAAGGCACTTTAGATGATTTAATTATTGCTTTTATTATAGATGGCATGCAGCCATTATAAAAGAAAACAATTGATACAAAGATTAGCTGGTGAATTATCAAAGTCATCAACTGACTGCAAGCAAATAACCTGCCAAAAAAAACAAATAATTTAATTTCAGATTTTTTTCAGTAGCCTACAGCAGATATAATTTCTAATAATGATTTAAATTTTGATAATCAACAAATTTTAAATAACTTTTTCAAAAATAAATTTAGAGATTTTAGCATTTTTAAAGAACTGATATAAAATTGTTATTTATTAAATATAACACTACAATTCCTTCAAGCGCCCCTGTGGAAAGACTATTTAGTGTTGCTAAAAATGTCTTCACAGATAAACGAGGATGCCTAAATGATCAAAATTTTGAAAATATTTTATTACTGAAATCTAATAATTATTTAATCATATATTTTCATATATTATATTAAAATTATAATTTTGGTTATATTCTGATAAATGTTATATCGCGTCAATAAATTTTTAGCTCATTTCATGAATTTTCACAATATAATATTAATTTAGGTTTATGCAAACCTATAAGAGCATAAAAAAATGTATCTCTATACAGATACATTTAAAAATTGTATCTGTATCTTGATAACTTTTTAGACGCTGTATCTGTATCTAGATAACTTTTGAGACTATGTATCTGTATCTAGATCCATTTAAAAAGTATCTTTTAACAACTCTGCTAAATACTATGGTTTGAGTAAGAATAAATTTAAAGCTTTTACTTGATAATACCAATATGTTAAATTTACTGATCATTTATACATAATATTTAATATTAAAAAAATTCCCAGGTAAAGTACAAAGTCATAATAATTTTGAAAAATTCATCTAAGCTGAATGAAAGATCATAATAATTTTGGTAGTTGAGAACTGAAATAAAACATTTAAATAATCATAATGAATTTAAAAATACAATAAAAATCAGATTTTCATGGGCCTTGGTTTTTTGATCAGGCTGAGCCCAGGCCTGCAAAATTATTTGTTTTAGGCCAATGTCTGACCCATAGTTAATCCAAGCTCATAATTTTCCCTATGCCCAGCCCAATATAATTTATAAAAAATATTTTCCAAGCCCAGTCCAACTCATAATAATTTTATAAAAAATTTTCTCAAGCCTGTCCAACCCATAGTAATTTTCAAAATTTTTTCCCAAACCTGGAGATAGGTAAATCTCTAAAAACCATATCAATTTTTTATTCTATCTTAACCCAGCTCACCCCTACTTCAGACCAAGGTAGACTAAGAGTGAATACTATTTTTTGAATAAAAATAATATTTAAATTAACTTTTACCTGAGGGCCATATAAATATTCTGTGTTAAATATTACACCTATGCCTAATATTAAAAAATTTCCAAGCCAGGTCCACGCACTTGGGAAAATTTTCTTAAACCTGCCAAAGACCATAATAATTTTGGTAGTTGAGAACTGAAATAAAATATATAAAAAGTCACAATGCATTTAAAAATACAATCAGAATATGAAAGTTTTAATGGTAATTGAAGTATTAGTAAGTGGACAATTTTTACAAAATTATTTAATTCTTTATTTTATTCTTTAAAATATTACACTACTAATAATCTCTGCAATTTCTCTTGGAATATCTGTCAATTTTTTCTTAAACCATACAATAAATATATTACATTAACTTAGATCGTAACATTAAAAGGTGCTGAAAAATAAAGATCTACTATATGTCAAACAATATATATTTGGTTGAAAGAAAATATTGACGATATTACCAAATATTCTGAGTCAATTTTAAAATTGACAACAAATGTAAAATATTAAAAGACAAAAATATAAAATATTTTTAATTTTAGGAATCTAAAAATTGACATCTCGGAACAGTATTATTTTATATATGTATATAAAATTAACTGCATCATACCTTAATGAAATTGCTATCCCTATGTCTAATGATTCTGTATATTATGTTACTATTATTTGTTATTTATTATTGAATAATAGCTAGATCAAGATAATGCCAACAAAGAAAATGAAAACCCTATAGTTATTAATAAAAATATTCCTATTCCTACTCTTAAAAGATATTATATAATTTCTATTATAATTTTATTATATAACTCAAATATAATAATTTATATATATTTTATGGAAAAATTATCTTTCAAAATAAAAGTTAATATTAGTTTTCCAACTGTTTATTAAATATTGATACAATTATTTACAACATATATTTATTTATTAAGTATATAAATAAAATTTAAATATAATCATTATCAAATAATAAGTTCATATAAAGTTTAATAACTGAAAGGTAATATATAATAATAAATACAATTTAATATTTACATATCTTTTAATAAATAACTAATAATTGAATCATATCAAACATTTTTAATATTTTAATTTTTTTAAAACTTAAATGTGTCCAAGATGTTGTTATTAATGTAAAAATTTTAAGGATTTTTTTAAAACATTTTGGACGCAGAATAAAATAAAATTTTAGTTAATTATTATTCAATAAATTTTTTGGATTTAAAGAAGTTATTTGGAGAATAGAATAATATTTCTTAAAATTATAAAAATAAAATTTGGTATCTATTCTATCTCCAATTTTGGAATAATAATAAAAATGATTATTTTAGAAAGGAACTATTAAATATACACATGAATTTCATATAAAACCTACACTTATCATAAAAAATTATTTAAATGCATTTAAGACCTTCATAAATACTCTTTTAACTTTTCCCTAAACAATCAATCTTAATTGTTATGTATACCTAATAAATTAAGACCCTGGATACAAAAATTTTCATGGCTCAGTTATATATTTTTCATTTTATCAGACTTTAGATTTTTATAAGTAAATTTATACCCTATTTTTTTGTGACATTATAATTTACTATGTTATTTATATATATATTATTTTATATAGATAAGAATAACAATAAATTCTCATATACCTAGGAATCTTAACTTATAATGTTTTGCTTCTGGACTGGTATTTTTCATAGGATAAGGTTTCATAGTTTTTTAAGGTGTTTGATATTGGTTTTTCTAACTCTAAAATAATTAAAAATTATTTATTAATATTAAAAATTTACTTTGATATAAAGTGCTTACCATCTAATGAGCCAGGTCAAAATATTTTTGTGCAATCTAAAAATATATTAATATATCTAAATTTATAATACCTTCTCCCAATGTTCTCTAGTTGGAACTGGCATATGAATATCTTTTAAAGTTTTCCATATAGCATCACATACCTCTGGAATGATGGTAACAAAGCATTTCGCTTATTCTGCTTTTTAACTTGGTTTGTTTTTTCTTATATTGGTAATTGGGTTTTGTTGAAGAATCTAATAAAAATAATATAATTATAAAAAAACTGAAAAAATTATACTTGGTTGCTGGATATCATTGCTATGATATGTGAAGTGAATGAAATGGTAAGTGTATGAATGCTGAGCTTGGTAAGGTGATTACTATTGGACCGATTACGCTATAATCATTTTTATTGGACAAATATGTTTTAAAAGAAAACTATTGGCTAAATTTGATTGACGTTTTTTGAGGATTATTATAATAGATTATTTATTAAATATTAGGTAAAATACCACTTTTGCAGACGTATTTGACACTTGTTAATATTTTTAAAATTTTACTAAGCTTTTGATAATAAATATAAGTATCAATTTGCATTCGACTATTTAACGCCATCTATTTATTTAAATATTATTATAATTAAACATCTTATTATTCATCCCACAATGGATTTAATAAATAAGATATCTTTTCTTCTCTTTTTTTACGTGTCTTTAGGAAAGCTATTTTTTTCTTCTTTGAAAAACAGTTTTGAGTGAATTTTTAATACGAATATATTTTAGATATTATTACAAACTACTATTATTTTAAGATATAATATACCAACTAGAGATAATGCGACAATAATATATATAGTTTAAATTGTTTTCATGATATCACTCTGGTTTTTATTTTATAGTTACAAAATATTTCTAATATGTCATCCTTGCCGTGTAAATAACTCAAGGCTTCAATATATTTGCATAATTTATTCTAAAGATTTTTAGTGTTTTTGTTTCCAATTCTAACATAATAAATTCTGATATGGGTTACCATCGTGAGTGTCATGGCTATAACTGTAAATTAACCAGCATCTATTATTTATGTGGATATGTAATTTAAGATTATTACAACAGCCAGCGTCTACATGACAGGATTTTCACTGGATGCAAACCCCCTTCGAAAACCTTTACCTAACCCCTAAAAAATCCCGCCATGCAATATATAGATTTGGTCGATGAATTGTATTATAATAGTTCTATAATAAAAAATTTTACAGCAATAAATTTTGTCCTATTTTATCTCAAAATTCAATAGATAATCCCACAAAAAATTTATCCTACTCCCATTAAAGCTGCCTACCCCCTCCAAAAAATATGATGCAAACTGTTCCTACCCCTCCCGCTCATGTAGACGCTGACAACAGCTGCTGAGAGCATATGATAGCATATATTAGAAATGCAATAATGGTCAACTGTGTAGTCGTTTAAATATCATTAAAAATGGAAGATAATCTTTTAGAAATTTAATATCTCACAATAATTTTCTCGATTACTTATCTAGCTTCCATCATGTCATATGAGAGGGATCTCTAACTACCATATAGTTTTATGATTTGGATTGGTCGTTATTTTCTTTTCTTCAAGAATTGTTAATTTAGTAAGGTCTATAAATTTTCTTTTATTAGTACATTCTATAAAACATTGTCTAAAATGGTAACAGAGAGTTATATTAGCTTCATGACCTTTTGTCAATGTAAGTTGCTAAGAATTATATAACCTTATGTGGTTTTTAAAAACCAATATCAATTAAGGCATATGTATGAAATAATTAACTTTTTTATCACTTGTAATTCTTTAGACACAAATTTTTTTATATCAATCATCGAAAATATTTTGCACTGTAATAAATAGATTTTGTATTAAAAAATATTATTTTTAGATATGTCTTGTATTGTTTTAATTATTTATATATTAGTTTATTTTGTATGCAAAATATAATAAATGACAAAATATGAAATTCAGAATAATTGTTTAGAGTAAGCAAATTTTAAAAAAGTATAATATATTAATATAAAACACGGCCGAAGGCCCGCAAATTGGGGGTATGGGAGACGACCCCTAGAAATTTTTTTTAGTTGAGCCCCAGAGATTGTAAAGGCTAGCGACGCCCCTGTGTATATTTAATAATATTTTATTTACATACATAGGCGTAGCCAGGATTTTCCTAAGGGGGGGGGGAATTATAAAAATACTGGGGGCTTCGCCACCAGACCCCATTTTGGGCGGGCCTTCGGCCGGGTTACCTTAGTGCATAAATAGTCAAATATTTTTACAAGATTGAAGGTTTATTTTAACTAGTAGAAAGCCCGTCAAAAATGACGGGGAATTATTAATTTTTTTTACGATAGATCATGCCAGGTTCAAGCTCACAATATTAGGAAGCATCCAAGATCTTACAATTATAAAAAAGTTTATCAAGCCCAGCTCAACCCTTAATAATTTGTAAAAGATATTCCCAAGTCAGGTGCAAGCTAATATTAATTTTGAGGCTCCAAGCCCAGTCCTACCCATTATAATTTTAAAAATTTTTTCCCACCTCGGAGATAGTTAAATTTTTAATTGATTTATCATCACATGAAGGGGATATATCTGATTTACCAATTAGTCTAATATGCAAATGAATTCCGTATTAAGGGAAATTGGGAAGCACTGGGCAAACCACTTATTAGAGATTCATGACAAATAAAATAAATAACCGACTCTTATACTTTTTTGTAATATGATCAATTAAAATTATATCTAAAAAATAAATTTTTGTTTATTATATAGGGTTATTGTTGTTTTTCAGATAAATTTAATGTATGTCTTGCATTTCCAAAATTATTTGTCAAAGAATCTGTTAAGGGATATATATATTTTTATGTTAAGTAAAAAAAAAATGTTATCTATTTAAATTACAAAAATGCCATTAAACACTAATGAAACTTATATGCAAATTATTTATATATTTTATAAGATATTTTTTTTTATTGACATATAAATTTAGGGTAATTTTTTAAAAAAATAATGAGGATTAATTATTATGTATTTGATAAAATTAAGAGCAAATCCATGTTGACATTTCAATTTGTGATGGAAAAAGCGACAATATAAATTTGGGCGGAGGAAATAATTAATGTATAATTTCATATCATTGCGGGTTGTAGATGAAATTAATGACGGTGTAACGTGATATTTTAACTTAAATTTAAATTAACTACCTTTAGTAATACTGAAATTTATGATTGACATTATAATGATTATTTATTAAAATATCATTAATTTAGTGTGATATTTTAACTTAAATTTAAATTAACTCCCTTTAGTAATACTGACATTTATGATTGACGTTATAATAATATTTTATTAAAATATCATTATAAAATTTAGTAATACTGAGATTTATGACTGACATGTAATGTTAAAAGTTTCTATTATTTAGTAATACTGACATTTATGACTGACATGTAATATTAAAAGTTTCTATTATTTAGTAATACTGACATTTATGACTGACATGTAATGTTAAAAGTTTCTATTATTTAGTAATACTGACATTAATGACTGATGTTCAATGTTAAAAGTTTATATATTGCAATATTAACTATGACTGACAGGTGATGCTTAAAGCTTATATGTTTAACATATTGACGCTTATGAGTGATAACTAATTAAAATTTTCTAATATTGTAATTTATGAGATAGATAATATTTTAATTTCTGATATTTAGTTATATTAACATCTAAGTTTTATTCTCTACCTTTTAAAATTTTTTATACCTACAAATAATTTAACGTCGAAAACGTCATAGCTTAATTTTAAAAAAGTTTGATCGAAATCTATATGTCATAATTGGGAGACTTTGATTTGTAAAATTTGATTTTTGGTAAAGTCAGTATGTATTGCATTTGATGAGTCATTTTTATTTTTATAATTTTATGTTTTAGTTAAATTGGAGAGTCATTGTTATTTTTATAATTTTATGTTTTAGTTTAATCGCGCTAACATTTTATTTTTAGATTTATAAAAGTTAATTATTGTAAAGTCATTATGATGATGGGGTTTAATTATTTATTTGTGATGATTATTGCTTCCCTATAAAAGGGAAGCGAAAATTGTAAATTATCAATTCATTTTTTTTTGAATTCATTTTTTTTTTTAATTAATTTTTTTTTTTAATTAATTTTTTTTTAACAGTTAATTTTTTCGTTTTAATTATTATAAAATTATTGTTTGTTTTTTTTTGGTTTTTGATTATAAATTTATTTTTATTGGATTGAAATAAAGTTGGGATTACTTGAAATCATTGTGGTGGAAAATTTTAACAATAGAATAAGAAAAACTTTAGACGGTCACAACGTAATAGTTGGTGCCGTGACTAAATAGCAAAGGTAAAAACAATTATTTTTATAAATTATTTTTGGGAAAATATTTTTGTGGAGCGCTGTGGTGGATAAGACCGTCAATTTGTGAGAGCAAGAACCGTCAAGAGCAAGTACCATCAAGAACAAGTACAGTCAAGAGCAAGTACCGCCAAGAACAAGTACCGTCAAGAACAAGTACCTTCAAGAACAAGTACCGTCAAAATAGGTGACCGTTAAGTGAAAATTTACAAGACGACGTAAAGTACACGGAAGTGCTGTCCAAATTTTTGCCTATATAAATCTATTAGACGAAAATCCGAAAATTTACTAAAAAGATAGAGTACACGCAACAACGATTGCCCACGAATTCTAATACTCCTTTCTCTTCGCATTCTCCTTCCAAAATATAAACTACACAACCATATCATCAACACTACCACCGCTCCCAGTACATTATATTGCAACTCCACATACTTTGTAATTTTAAAACTCTTCATTAAAATATTTACGTATTTAAATTTTACAAGTAACTCAATCTAGCAATATTATATTTTATAAAATATTCACAAAAAATTAATAATTAATTTCACCAAAAATATCTTAACTACTTGTAACGTCAGACAATAAGATAAAATCAATAAGGTAAAAACTCCAATAATACACATATACATTTATCAATTTCAAAAAAAAATCAATACTTTCCGCGAATCTTTAAACTCTTCCGTGTATTGACGTCTTTTGAAAAAAATCGGCAGCACTTCCGTGTAACTTGCCTTTTAATAAACTTTTTCGGATTTTCTTCTAATAGATTTATATAGGCAAAAATTTGGGCAGCACTTCCGTGTACTCTACCTTTTTAGTAAATTTTCAGATTTTCGTCTAATAGATTTATATAGGCAAAAATTTGGGCAGCACTTCCGTGTACTCTACCTACCTTTTTAGCAAATTTTCGGATTTTCG